TGGGCCCAGCCGTTCTTGACCGTCATTGTGAATAACGGCGGCTGGGTTGTGAGTGTCGCCATTCTGAGAGAGGTTGTAGCGTGCTGACCTGTGAGCGTGCAGTCGCCGAAGAACTCGATGCTCAACGTGTATCCAGAAGGGATGGGCAGCAAGGTGTCCGGGCGGAGGCTCACCGTGGGCTTTGGTGGGCCGGAGATGCCAGACTATTCGCAAATTGCTGTCGCTGCGGGGGGCGGCTGGGGCAGGCGTGTGGCTGACCCCTCCGAGCTTCAAAGTACGTTGGAGGAAGCGATCCGAGTTGTTATCGACGACAGACGGTGTGCCGTCGTCGACTGCCTCATAGAGCAGATCTGAGTCTGGGATGGTGAAGTCTGGTGAGAGATAATTGTATGATATACTCGGACACGGTACTATACAGCTTTTTGTGAATGATGCTTGGATGGGCGTCGACTACCAAGTAAAGGCATAGGAGCGAAAGATTTGGCTATCGCTACAGGGATATTTTGAATACCACACTCGCCTACATAAAAATTGCGTGAACAGCACAAGTGTATCTGCGATGTTATTCCAAAATAGGCATTTTATCAAAGTCAGTCACTGCGAGGGAGAGAGCTGAGATGCTGCCTTGCTGCGTTCCCGACCACTGCTCAGCATACGGATAGCAGTGAACGTCCGAGCAATGTCGACATTTGGGCGGTTGGCAATCTGGGCAATCTGGTGTCCACTTATAAAAGGCGGCGACCTGGGACGAGGCTGGTGAGTCACAAAGTCCAGACCGAGATTTTGACCTCCTCTTCCGCTGTGATCTCTCCGCCATCTCGCGCAGAAAACATGCCTGCTCTCACACCAGAAACATTCAAAACATTGCTCGGCAAGCTCGTCAAGACTCCAGAGTATTTTGGCCCCGACGACCTCCGCGCCGCGCTGGAACATGTCTTCACCCCGGACGCCGTCCTCCCCGTCCAGATCGGCTCTTTCCTGACTGCCCTGCACATCGAGCGCGTCGAGAGGAGACCAGAGTGCCTTGTGGCAGCGGCAGACGTGCTTCGGAAGCGTGCTCTCAAGGCAACAGTCGACGACGCCGACCGGGATTTCATAGTCGACATCGTCGGCACGGGCGGCGACGGGCACAACACCTTCAACGTGAGCACGACGGCGGCCGTCGTCGCTGCAGGAGCGGGAGCCCGCGTGATCAAGGTGCGTCCGTCGCCGTCGCCAGCCGTGTGCTCTGCGCCGTTCTGAGAGACGGGCTGCCAGCACGGGAGTCGGGCGTCGACGTCGACGTCTGGCGCGGCCGACCTCCTCCAGTCGCTGGGATGCCTCTTCGTGCCCCCCAGCGCGAACACGCCCGTGCGCCTCCCGCGCATCCCCTTCACGTTCATCCTCGCGCCGCACTACCACCCCGCGCTCGCGATGCTCGCCCCGTACCGCAAGGCGCTCCCGTACGTCCCCCGATCTCCCCGCATCGCGCCCCATCGCGCCGCTCACGCCGCCGCACAGACACCGCACGATGTTCAACGTCCTCGGGCCGCTGATCAACCCCGCGTGCCCGCGCGGGATGGTCCTCGGCGTCGCGGAGCGCGAGCTCGGCGCGACGTTTGCGCACTCGCTGCGCGACGGCGGCGTCGCGCGCGCGCTCGTCGTCTGCGGCGCGGAGGGGCTCGACGAGATCAGCTGCGCGGGCACGACGTACGCGTGGGAGCTCGCCGACGGGCGCGTCGTCGAGCGCACGCTGCACCCGGCGCAGTTCGGCCTGGACGTGCACCCGCTCGCGGCCGTTGCGGGCGGCACGCCTGCGGAGAACGCGGAGGCGTTCAGGCTGCTGCTGACGTCGGGGGAGGACATACCCGCGCGCCTGACGCCGGTGCTGCACTTTGTGCTGCTCAACGCGTCCGCGCTGCTGGTCGTCGCGGGTGTTGCGACGGACCACAGGGACGGGGTGGAGAAAGCTAGGAAGAGCATCACCTCGGGAGAGGCGTGGAAGGCGTTGGAGCGGTTCCGTGAGGCTGGGATGACCGAGGCGTAGGGCAATGTGGGTCGTGCTAGGATAGTAAAGATGCTGTATAATTGCGGCTGTGCCGGTGAGAAAATCTGAATAAACTCACAGTGTACTTTATCGCGTTTCGAAGAGTTTTCTCTGTTCAAAATGTGCCAGAGCGATCTCACGACGTATTTTATATATTCTGATGGCTCGCCGCTTGGATGCAGTCGTTCGCACCGACCAAGACGCCATATTGACGCTGTGTGCACTTGGTGTAGCCCCTCCGCGCCTCGCTACCCTATAGCCCAACACACTCAACGCTTGGCCATCGTGTCTGAGCTCACACAACCATGTCTTCTGGGTCTTTGCATTCGTCCGGTCTGTTCAATGTCGCGGGAAAGGTCGTCCTCGTCACCGGTGGCAGTCGAGGGATCGGCAAAATGGTGCGTTCGAACATCGTATCGTGCTTCAACACTGTTGAAGCCACCGAGCACAGATTGCAGCGGGGTTTGTGGCCAACGGATGCAAAGTGAGCCTTTCTGCTTACACGGCCCACCCGGCAGGCTGAACGAGGGACAGGTCTACATATCCTCTCGCTCGGCCAAAGACTGCGACCTCGCGGCAGAGGAGCTCAATGCGCTGGGCCCGGGGTCGTGCGCCGCTCTGCCTGCGGACATGCAGAAATACGAGGAGGTGGAACGGCTTGTCCACACGCTGTCCGCCCGCGAACAGGCCCTGCATGTGCTCGTCAACAACGCTGGGGCTGCGTGGGGAGAGACCATCGACGACTATCCTGTGAGCTCTCAGTTTGGCTGTGTGCGTGTGCGTGTGCGTGTGCGTGAAGCTCACGGCGTCGGTAGGACACCGCATTCACCAAGCTGCTCACTCTCAACACCCAGCGGGTGTTCACGCTGACGCAGAAGTGTCTCCCGCTCCTCCGTGCCGCCGCCACCCGAGGCGGAATGGAAGGCGACGTATACAAGGACCCTGCTCGCATCATCAACGTACGTTGCTCCCATCTTCCAGCATGTCGTTCTCAGCCTTCTTCTGGTAGATCGGCTCAGTTGACGGACTCGTAGTGCCCAGTCTTGAGACTTACGCGTACTCTGCATCCAAGGCTGCGTTGCACCACCTGAGCAGACATCTCGCAAGCAGGCTGGGATGGGATGGGATCACCAGCAACACGATCGCTTGTGGTGCGTCTCGCCATTCTTGCCCATGATGAAAACATGCGCACGCTGCTCTACAGGTCCATTCCAGAGCAAAAGTAACTATTGGATTCCTATTTGACCACCACCCCGCGGTTTTGACATTGCTTTTTCTTTAGTGATGGCCGCGACGCTCCAGTCGATGGGCGACGCTATCAAGAGTCGGATCCCGCTTCTGCGCATCGGCGCTCCTGAAGATGTTGCGGGCACGGCCATTTTCCTCGCCAGCCGCGCAGGCGCATACGTCAATGGTGCCACAATCACGCTAGACGGCGGGCAAACAATCGCAATGAGGCCGATGAGCCATTCCGCAAAGCTCTAGAGTGTCCCAAAAACAATCTAACAGGTCTATGTGATATCCTACGGTATTCGTGTGCGCGTCGTGCAGATGAGCTAAGCCATTTGTGATGGGTCCGGTGGGGTCTTTTCTGCCCCCTTCTCCGCACGCGTCTCCGAGACGGCCATCTCCTCTCCCTTCTTCTCATCGACACCTGCCTTTTGTTCTTCTTTGCTGTCTTCTTTGCTGTCTGTGTTATCTATCGGAAGCTTTTCTTCGGCCGCGGCTTGTTTTTGTCGTTCGCGCTCTGCGAGTCTGCGTTTCCGGACCTCGATTCCGCCTTCGTAGCCGAACCACACATATCGCGGTACGTGCGGACCCCGCAAAAAGGTGATAAGCAACATGAAACCGCTCCATGCAAGCGACACAGCCGCGGCAGGGCGCCACCCGTACTCCGTGTACACCTTCGCGCCAACAGAGGTACCCATGATCTGACCGATGAACAGCTGCGGCGTGCGTGCGGTATGTGTCAGCGAGGCTCAGGCACCACAACCAGGAGGACTGCGCGACTCACCGAGATGAGGATGATTCCGTTCAGCCGCGATCGAGCGGCAGGGTCAAGAGTGAATATCGCGGCGGTCAACGACACCTGCGTCATCTGCCGGAATACGTCGATGCCGATGCAGACGATGACGACGGCGGCGATGTTGACGCCATCTGCCCCGACTGCGATCGCGTGGACGAGCAAGTATGCGACGTTGGCGATGACTGCGGCGAACCAGGGGACGAGGTTGTCGCAGGCCCGTCCGACCAGAGGCGCCATTGCGACGCCGACCATGCCGACCAGCCCGAACAGACCGATGACCAGCCTACACGCAGGATGAGTTCGAGCTCCCGTTTGCGAACGTGGACGCACTCACGTCGAGTAGTTGTAAGGCGGGCCGCCCAAAAGGAACGTGAGCGTAACCTGAGGGATACGTCGAATGCAGTCCACGCGCGACGTGTGCAGTTCACTCACCCAAAAGTTCGTGTAGCATGCCATGGAGGGTATACTGATCAAGATGATCTGAATTACCAACGGCTCCGTTGCAGCCATTCTGAACATGCTGAACAACATCCCCAAGTACGTCCCTCCCTTTCCCTTCACGGGGTAATCAGGCAGGACCAGGTAGAGCCACACAAACACGAAATACTGCAGCCCGATCGCGAGGTAGTACACCACGCGCCATGTCACGTATTGCGCGATGGTGCCTGATATCACCCGCGCAAGCAAGATGCCGAAGAGCAGCCCGGACAGCACGATGGACATGGCTTGCCCGCGCTTGTGCGGCGGCGCGAGGTCCGCCACGAGGGGGAGGAGGATCTGCGGGACGACGGTGAACATGCCGACGAGGAAGCTGAGCGCCTCGAAGACGGCGAGGCTCTTCGTGATCGCGAGCGCGATCGTCAGCGAGGCGGAGACGAACACCAGCATCAGGATGAGCGGCCGCCGCCGGACGAGGTCGCCCAGCGGCGAGATAGAGAGGAGTCCAATAGCATAGCTGCGCGGCGCTGCGTGAGATGTGGCAGCAGCGGCGAAGACGGCCACTCACTCACCCTACTTGGATTAGCGTGGGGATCCGGGAGACGTCGTCGTACGAAACCTTAAATGTGTCGGCCAGCTGAACTAGCGAAGCAGATCAGTAATTGCCCAGGGAGCGATTCACACCGAACACCAAGGACTGCTATGAACAAGTCGCTACCTAGCATCCCCGCCGCTCTGCTCATCAAAATGCGGGTGGCCTGCACCGGGTTACGAACAATGGTCTAGACCGAGACCATCGCTCGCCAGGCGCTGTCCACATCATTGATCTGAGGCTTTGCGGCTGCCCGTTCATCCCGCCACCGTGTCCAGTGGGGTCAAAGTGGAATGTGGTGGGACCGCAGTGGATCACGATATTCCGTGACTCAGATTGGATATCGAGATGTATGTGCAGATATGACACCACTATTGGGACATTTGGGCAGACGCTGAGCATACAGACTGAGGAAGAGCCGTGTTCATCGTCTTTCGGCGGGTAGGGTCTGAACAACCTCACGGTCGTTTGGACGGGTGGGAACCTTGGAGCGAGAATCTACAATACTGAGGCGAAAAGCAATCACTCACTTAATAATGGTTGACAGTAGTATAAGTTGCCCAGTACTTTTTCTTCGTGAGCGAGTGCCAAAGCAGATCAAGGGACGAGGACGTACCAAAGGTACCAGCAAGACCGAATGTTACATTCAATAATAGCCCGAAATGTGGAGGATGCTCTGGATCATGTCGCAGCCACTTGGGGATAGGCAAAAAGCCGAAATCCTTCGTTACCGCGGCCTCCTTGTATTCGGACGTCGAGACAGGCTGTGACGGCAAGTCGACCGTATCCGAATCGGAGGACGCGCTGCGAGCATGAGTGGGAGAGTCACTCATGTTGCCAGGAACATATACAGGACGTGCTTCCACCATTCCGTCGCATTGGTACGATGGTATTTATACTGATCTCGCAGAGCTGAGAATGGAGAATATGATCTAGCAGCCGGCCGTGTTGCCGCCAGTGCACATGCCGAGCGCTACATCATCGTAGGTTTTTCGGAAGTCCGAAACTGGAGCCGCTTGCGGTGCGTAACTGTAATATTGCACGTTTGATACGGGGGAGTATTCAATGCTCGCGAGTCCAGCTGTAGGCGACGCCTGTGAGGGTGGAATCGTGGTGGTTCATTCTGACTCACTCACACTGGCAGCACGGGGACGGCAGCCCGCAAACACGGATTTTAAAGATCTGATCCTGTCGTCGACGACCCGACACAACGACTGCAGGCAGGGCCAATCAGTTGCCGAGATTCAACATTCAGCGCCAGTCTTCCCGGCCGCCAACGTCAGCAGTTACGGACTTCGTGGAGGGGGCATCATCAGCAAAATCCGAGCCGCAATATATACGATGGCATGTATTGGCAATAAGGCCAGAGATG